TGCTGTAAGGCGTTAAGTTCACATTCGAAAGTTATTATCCCCTTGGAGTAATTTGAAGAACAAAAAACAATAACGAACGGAAAGCTAAGAGCAAAAGAGGAACCCGTTAGATGGATTACTCGACTGGATCCGGTTGTTAAGAATTGTGTTGATCAAAGCGTTAATATCCTGGCTGTCCTCCTGCCCATATATATAGTCTTTCGATCGGAACATTCCAGCAATTTCGCGAATAAACGCAATGCTCTTTGCTCTCTGATACTAATGATGTCATATTGCTTCAGAATATTCTACTATGTTCTAGAATATTTTATCTCTCTCCCTAACGTGTTCTCTTTTCCATACTTTTCATCTCTAACGGGTGGAGATGCAGAGATGCAGAAAGGCAAATATTTCGTAAACAAAATGTTTGTAATATACGTAATAATTTGGAAGCCGTTCGTTTTAAATGTTTTGTTTAATGTGAGACGTTAATGAGCGATAATTAAAATGATTTGTTAATGAATTAATTTGTTCAGTTTTTCGAAATTTTAATAATTAAAAAATTATTTCGATGTCAAATTGCTTCGGAATATTCCACTATGTTTCAGAATATTTTATCTCTCTACCTAACACAGTTTTTGAAAATTTAATTAATTGATAAAATGAATAAAATATTTTCTTAATTAGAGCAGACTAAAATGTGTTACATGATACATGATTTAAACTGTAGCAGGCAAGATATTTGTTGCAAAAGAGAAACAATTTGTTGTAGAAATAAGCTGTAAAAGTACTAACTTAATACTTTCAGGAATCAAAATGTAAATTGGAAATGAAAAATTTTGTTACTGAAATTAATGAGAATGATGAAAATACAACATTACTGAAACGTGAAAAATAGTAGATTGTTTGGTGATAGTATGAAATGAAATTTCAAAAAATTTCTGGTTGATCCGGACGAAAATCCGGTTGATACGATATATTTTTGATTACTTGATTTTGCTTCCAAAGGATATGTAATGCTTAAACTAGAATGTTCATTTATAATTGCTTTCTTTTGCAGGTGAAGAAGATAGGTAAGTAAGAAAGTCTATATTGATTTATTTTTGGAGAGTTTTAATATTTCATTTTCTTCATATCAAGGATGTGCTAAATCCATTAATATAACACAAAGATTTAGTAGTCTCTGCGCTAATTGCTAGGATCATGGAAGCTATTTTGGTTGCAAGCAAAGTAATGTCATTATCCATCATTGGAGGCTGTCACATAAGTTTTATATGTGGATATTTTCGTATATTTTATTCTCATATATTCTATACTATATATTGCGCCCTTTTAACATTTTATGTGAATACTATATACTACACTCTTTTTATGTTTTATGTGGATTTCAAATTCGCTGCCCGAAGTGTTTCAGGTAAAGCGTTACGCACCGATAACTTCAGTGTTTCAGGTAAAGCGTTGTGCACCGATAACTTCAGTGTTTCAGGTAAAGCGTTGTGCACCGACAACCTAAATATATCATGAAAGATATCGATGACTTTCTTAAGGAGTGAGATCAGCTGTTTCTTTATCGAAATTTGTTGCTCATAATTTGATGGAAAAATATAATTTGTTATGAAAGACTTGCATTTCGCTTATTTCGTGGAAAACTTTGAATTCAACAACTATTTAAATTCTCGTCATTTCCATTATCATATCAATAATAGTGTTAGCTTTCATCGGATATGATAGGTGAATTCACAATTCACTGCCAAGTGATTTACCATTCCAGTTCAAAAAGAAATTTATTAAAATTTAAATCAAGTGACATCATCGGGATAACATAACATTACATTACATTATTATGTTGAATAGTAAATCGTAATAATGAAATACTGCATTACCAATTCACTGTTAAGTGATTTATCATTCCAATTCAAAAAGAAAATTATTGAAATTTAAATCAAGTGACATCATCGGGATAACATTACATTATAATAGTAAATGAAATACTGCATTACAAATACAATATATAGCTAATATACATGGGATAATAGCCAATTACTGTTTGTCATCTTTCGTCGAATTGAATTGGAATATTTTCAAATTGCGGACTTTCAATAGCTTTATTCTTAGCGGTTATTCGAAGGATTCCCTGATCTGATAAGTGTGATTCCAAACTGTCTTGTAACACGGTCTTTGGAATGGTGTACTTCCGAATGAAATGTCGTTCCACGAAACCACCATGCTGATCATTTCGTTTTGTATGATGACCTTCAACAAACAGTCTCCCATCCTGCATCTTCACCGATAATTCTTCCGGTTGAAAATGGCTGACATCCAGCTGAATACCAAAATTCTCTTTGTCATGAATGAGCTGAAAGATAAAAGATAAGAGATAAGAGAGATGAGATAAGAGCATAGAAAATAAGAAATGAAAAATTATTAACCAGCGGAAATGTTACAAAGGCTGCGAAAGATAGCTTACCTCATCGAAAGAATTTCCAACTGCGGTATCACATTCCCAGAGTGGTTGAAATGAATCTTCAAAATCCACCAATAATCGATCCATCAATCCAGAAACAATATTCCGTCCTTCAACCAGTAAGTTGTGCCGTCGGAATGGAAAAGCCAATAAAGCCATTTACGTCGTCGCTCAATAAAGTAAGCGTTAAAATGATGCAATTTCTTGATGAAGATTACTGAAAACCGTCACTCTTATATAACCAAACGGAGAATGTGCCAGATTATTCCGGAATATTCTACAACATTCTGGAATATTTTATCTCTCTCCCTAACGTGTTCTCTCTTCCAGACTTTTCATCTCTAACGGGCAGAGATGCAGAAATGCGGAAAGACAAATATTTCGTAAACAAAATAAACAAAATTTAACAAAGAAATAAAATAAACGTAAACAAGAGATGGAAACGATTTGTTTTAAGTATTTTGTTTGTAAGATGAGCAATGATTAAATGGTTTATTAATGAATTAATTTGCTTTGTTTTTTGAAACCTTAATAAATAAAAAATTGAACTTGATTTTTTCCAAATCTGATTTATATCGCAAAATTAATATCAATTGTTAAAATACAGTATCACTGTTCGATTTCCTGAAATATGAAAATGATAGATTGCTTGGTGATATGAAGTAGAATTTCACAAAATTTCTGATTGATCGATTAATTCTTACGCATCGATTCTTTTCCATTCCTGTCAAAGTTACGCATAGATTAATTGTTTTCCGTTCCTATCAAAGTTACACATCGAATAATTCTTTTCCAGTCCTATCAAAGTTACACATCGATTAATTCTTTTCGTTCCTTTCATAGTTCATAGATTATTTTTGCCTCTCTGCTATTTATATAATTTTATATATTATAATTTTACATGTATATTATTGCTAATATATTGGGTGAATTTCTCAGTGAAGCAATGATTCCGGAAAATGGATTACAACACTGTAAATTTCTTCCCTGTTACTGTAATGTAGTAAACATGTGATAACTATAAATTCATTCTTGTTTATTGCAAACTTCAAAATACTTCAATTCGATTACATTTCATTTATTCTCATTTAACTATTCCGAATTAATTCCATTCAGCTACCGGAAAATATAACTATTATTCGTGACAAATATCGAAAAAACAATTATTTGCTACAGTTATCATGATTTCATTTATCAGTTAAAGTTTCGAAAGACTGAACAAATTAATTCATTAGCATCTCATATTAAACAAAACATTTAAAACGAACAGTTTCCAAATTATTACATTATAAACATTTTGTTTACAAAATATTTGTCTTTCCGCATTTCTGCATCTCTACCCGTTAGAGATGAAAAGTCTAGAAGAGAGAACACGTTAGGAAGAGAGATAAAATATTCTAGAATATAGTGGAATATTCCGGAGCAATCCAACTTATCATTAATTAACATTCCGTTTATTTACACGTAAAGATTTCAAAGTACCAATACTAATCTCACTATTATTTTTGGCGGATGTATGCAGGATAAATGCAGCAAAGAAGAGAGACAAAACATAATCTGCGTACTCTGACAGCACGGAGCGTTGGGTTTATTCGCGAAATTGCTGGAATGTTCCGATCTAAAGACTATATATATGGGCAGGAGGACAACAGGACTTTAGCGCTTTGATCAACACAATTCTTAACAACCGGATCCAGTCGAGTAATCCATCTAACGGTTTCCTCTTTGCTCTTAGCTTTCCGTTCGTTATTGTTTTTTGTTCTTCAAATTACTCCAAGGGGATAATAACTTTCGAATGTGAACTTAACGCCTTACAGCACCCATTGTAATGGTTTAGGTGCTCCGACAGTAAATCAGTTTATAACTTTTTAAAATATTTCCG